GAATGAATATAACACTCCTGTTGTTTTAGTGAGCTGTACTTTTAATGCTATAGCTTATGCCATTCTGACTAGGCATGTGTGTGCTAGACGTGTATGAAATAGCCTTTTTAAACAGAAAATGAAGATTAAAAAAAGAATGGTAGCATTAGCTGATATTTTAAATATAAATATAAATATATATTTATTTACTTGATTCCTTAATGTGTCTTACCTGTACCCTCGCTTATGTAAGATAACCATTAGCATCTTATGGGGATCTGGAAGTCAGGGTCACTTTAAAAAATCAATTACATCTCCCAAGATTAGACTGAATGAGGTTATAAACTCTGAGATGCTCTGTGTCTAGGCTTTGCTGGAGTAATTCTTAGACATTAACTGACAGAGGTGTTCAGGTGATGAATTTCCTCCCAGCTAAACCCACTATTCTTAAAGGGGGACTCTCCAAGCGGTGGCATTTCACTTTCTCTTAGTGTTTAGGACTTTTTAGGAGCGTGAGACACCAAGTCAGGACACATCGTGCTCATTTTTATATGCCAGGCAGGTGACAAGCACTTCTCAGATTTCAAATCCCTTTTGTAGTGATTCTTGGATATTCTGGTTTTCTGTAATTTCAAGTCATGACTGCACAGCCACAAGTTTCTCAAAATATTCATAGACTAACAGCTAATTTAATGTGAAAAAGGAAACTTTTCTCCAAACCTACAGTCACTTCTTAGTCATTTGATCGATTATTCTGCATACCTCAATTGAACTGGTGAATGCCCAGGACTAGAAGTAAAGTGTATTTTTTTTTTTTCCTGCGTGACATTTCTCTCCTCAGAAGCTTTGTTACATATCCAGTGATCAGCACAGACTTCAGGCATGTAGACAAACAGGCTTTGGAGCCCCTTCACACCTCAAAATCAGGGACTTGCAAGAATACTTCCCCTGAGTACATGACAGAGAGGTTGAGCCTCTTCAGGTTTAGGACACAGGTGTTTTAGCAAGAACACATCTGCTCTCTGTGTCTTCAGGTGACACAGTTAAGTGCCATGGAAGGTGGCTTATGTTTTGACCTTCAGGATGAAATAACACCAGGAGATTGTGGAGGTGTCTAGGGTAGGAGGATACATGGTGGTTGTACAGGAATTTCTTCTCACAAAGAAGGCACCTGCAGAATCACTCCCTTGTGTTTTTATTTCTCCCTTTTCTCTCTAATGCTTCTCAGGTCATGGTAGAGAATTCGGACTTCACCCCGTCGCAAGTTGGCTGTCTCTTTACCTTCCTTGCCCGTCAGCTTGCCAAGCCCAACAACACGTTATTTGTGAACAGGACACTTTTTGACCAGGCAAGTATTTGTTTGTGAGGGGTGGGAAAAATTCCAAACAATGCAGCACTGCGGAAAGCATGGCTAGTGCTGTAGGCTGAAGCAATTCTGGAAGTACTGGTTCATTGTAAAACCTGTAGTATCTTGCTGAGGGACTTTGCTGAGGTTTCACAGAAGTGAGAGAGACCCCAGGAGCACGATAAGCTCCACGTTTCAGCTCGCCAGCTGGAATTGTGTGAGAAATAGGGTCAGGTCCTAGGAGGTGGAACAGCCTCTGCTCTTCTCCATGGAATGGCAGATTCCTGCGGCCGCTAACGTGTCAGGCCCGTAAGGGCTGGAACCAAACTGTTTATCTTAAGCCCCAGCGTGCATTTTGGCGACTCTTTTGTCACTTGTTATACCTATGAAGATGTCAAGGTAAGAAAACAAGGGACACCAACTAAGATGACCTTAATGAGCTTATAGAGGACGTATATGTAGCTGGTAATTTCTAGTTCACATGACTTCTATCCTTCTCTGCTGTTAGAGATGGGCTGGTAACGCACCAATGTGTGCCTGAAGCTTGCACAAGTTAAGTTTAGATCCCAGCTTAATTCCCAGAAATTCCTGGGACTGAGGAGGAGGCTTCAATGGCTACAGCAGTTGTGCTTTGATGGTAATATGGATATATGAACTCTAATAAAAAATTAGTTAGGAAATATCTGTCATAATTTAAGACCAAAGAACTATGTGGGAGCTAAATGGATATAGATTAAACACTTTAATTACAGATATGTTAAAATTTATTGATTACATGATTCCCTCTTTTGGGGGGGTGTGGCACAGCCCAGAAGAGAAGTTGAGAGAGTCAGTGTGGTGGTTCCAGCTGTTTGGTGTGTGGGCCAGCGCATGGCCATGGGGTCCCCCGAGTTCTTCTATATTCCCTGGGTTCCCCAAAGTTTAGTTCTCGATCCTGGTGCAGAATCATGAGTTTGCCTCCCTGAAGTCTTGCAGCAAGTCTTGGCTATGCTGGTGTTCTTAGGTGTCCTTAGTTACAGGACCAAGTAGAGAGTACCTCACAGATAAATGGTATGTTTGGATTGCACCGTTGTGTTCTGATTTGCTGTGGCCATTATTGGTGCTTACAATCTGCTTGTTAGGGTCATGCTAACAGCTGTGTTAAGTAGCCCTAACCTGTGCTAACTTCTGCACTCTTGCACAGGTCCTTGAATTTCTGTGCAGTCCAGATGATGACTCCCGCCATTCGGAGAGACAACAGGTAATGGCTTTCAAGGGAACATTTCTTTAAGCACCAAGTGTGAGCAGAGCGTAGAGCAGAGTTCAGACTCGTTGGGAATGGCTGTTGGCTGAAGGTCATACACCAAAGCAGGCACCTGGCATAGGAATGGTGGCCAGCATGAAAGAGTTGGGCAGTGGTGGACACAGCAAGAGTAAAAGGAGGATCTTATCGCAGCGTTGCCTGCAGGAGAGGTTTGACAGCAGTAAGAGCACGGGCAGGAGAAGTCCTGGATAAGCACATGACCTTCAGAGTTAATGTACAATCAAATACATAAATAAAAACCCAAACAACAAAAACCCCAACCTCTAAAATAAGCCCTGTGTTAATACAAAGCTTAGTGGAGCAGGAGCAGCGTACTTCTAATGGTACCAGCTGTCCAGCTGCTACTGCAGTATAAATAACTGGTCTTCAATATCTGCAGGTCCTTTTAGAATTGCTCCAGGCAGGAGGGATCGTACAGTTTGAAGAAAGCCGTCTTATCCAAATGGCAGAGAAAGCTGAATTGTAAGTTGCTGCGTATGATGTATAAATACTGGCTTTCAATCTTGTTTATGATATTTAGATACTGCCTTTAAATCTCCTCCAAAGCTTTTTTACTCCACATTTCTTTTTCCTACTTCGCAGCTGTGTTTGGGATTATTTTCCTTATGCATTCACATATGCTTCATTTAATATGTTCATATTTAGTCCCAATCTTTCTGTTTTATCTCTACTGGGTGTTTTTACAGAAAGCATTGTTAAAAGAAGGAGTAGAGCTGTGGAAACCCTTCAGCATGAAACCCTGTGGGGCTTGATAAGTTTTGGCACTTCCTATCCTTGAGCACAGGCTTTGTTCGAAGGTATAGTTGTATATTTGAATGCTCTACCACTGACAGATGGAGGTGACTTGTTGGGGTGAGACCCACAGGTGGATTTAAAAGCACGAAGGTGTCTGGAGCCACCCCCATGGTACTCATTTTAGAATTGAGTAGGAGAGACAAACATGGTGTCTGGAAAGGCTAAAAATTCCACCATCTCCTTTAGATGCTTTACGCTGCCAGAAAGAGCCTGTCATGCCTGAACAGAGTCAGCCAGGGAGGACATCTTCATCCAAGTCTTGAATTTGAATGTTCTGTGAATTGATTCACCATACTATAAAGAACCAAGGGGATAGAAGTGCAGTGGTGGGGTGTGCCATGCCTGTTTTCCTGTGTGTCCTAGAACGAGCTACTCAACCAAATTTTTAACACTCAAGAAACGCATTTTTTTTTCTCCTTGCTTCAGAGAGTTTGGTTGCTGAGAGTGCTCAGCCACTTCCATCAGAGCTCAAAGACCTATAGTGTCATGTTAGTTACCAGTCTTCATTTGCTTTGCCTCAGTTGCATGTGTTTTTATCTAAAGTTTCAAAATATTTAAGATGTTTATTAAAATTAGAAGTTAAGAAGCTGTGTCATAGCACTGTGGGGTCATGTTCAGTGTATTTCTTTAAATTAGTATTGTGAATTGGCCTAGCTTAGAGCTGAGTGTGTTATGGAAGTAAGGAAGATGATCTTATCAACAGCAGAACCTGTGAATTTCTTTAAGGATTTTTGTCCTTGTCCTTTGCCTCTCACCTTAGTCACTCTGACTTTCTCAGTTCTGTATGATAACTTTCTCAAAAGAGGGAGGTTGATGGGCTCACTGTACTGTGGCTGATACCAAGTGGCACACATGAACTGGAGCCACCTAGCCTGCTGCTAAAAACCTTAGTAACAAGATATTTCCAAATACTTTTTGTAAAACATGCAGTATATTCTTTTAAGTGCTGCCAAACTGGGCTGGATCTGAGCTGCCTACCTCTCGTTCTGCTGACTGCTGAGTGTCTTTTTCATTTTAGCTATCAGATTTGTGAGTTCATGTATGAACGAGAGCTTCGCTATGACAAAATAATTGGCTGTTACCTGCGTGACCCAGTGAGAAAGGTGAGTAAATCTGGTGCTTCTGGCCTTCCTTCTTCATAGCAGTGCAGCCTGTCCTGCTGGCCAGAGTGTGACTGGGCACAACAGCCCTCCTCTTCTGGCCTGCTTCTCTATCTTAAGAAGTGTCTTCCTTTACAGTTGAGTTTTCTTAGTTATAGTCAAGGCTTTGTGTTCGTGTGTGTGTTGGAGTAGTCTGGCAAATGTGATCTCACTAGCTCTTTATGAAACCACTGTGCTGGAAGTTGTTTAGGTGTAGGAGTCAAGAGGGATAGGCTGTGATAGTGAGGTGGTCAAAAATATGGTACCAGGAGAGCATCTGAGCTGAGGAGAGTGCAGGAGAACCTGGAGGAGAGGCTAATGTCAGAGAGGGATTGGGAATATGCTGGGAAAACTGACCTACCCTCTGCAAGAGTGCTCTTTTCTCTGCCGGTGCTCCTAGCTAGAGTGATGTCCTTTTTCCATGTGAGCAAGAGAGGGGCATTTCTAATAGCGGAAGAACAATTTTCTTTGACCTCAGCGCTTAACATGTTCAGCATCAATTCTGTTCCTCTTGGCTGTTTTTTCCTGGCAGTTCTTCAGCAGCTGTTTAGGTACACTTAATCTCACCTGCAGATAACTTGTCCTGACTTGCTAAGAGAATGCTAGCCCTGAGGTCATCCTAAAACTGTTTGAAATGCTGTCCCTTACTAAAATCTAACGCTGTTAGTGACGCTGAAGAACATACTATATACTATTTGTGGTTTTATGCCTTGCAGGAAGAAGTTTTCAACTATATTCACAACATCCTGTCCATGCCTGGCTACAGCGCTGAAGAAAAGCAGTCGGTGTGGCAGAAAGCTTTGGAACATATAGAGGTAGAGTGTATCCTAAACCCACAGTACCTCAGCTACCGTGAATTCCTATTGGATCTGCCTGGTGCTATTCTATAAGCAGAAGTGTCGCAACACCAAATCACAGCTGTTTAGAAAGCTTGAAATTTTTAAAGGTTTAAGGCTTAGTAGTCTCATACATTTGTATAAATGCATCTCTTCGATTCAGGCTGCCTTCCTTGGTTTCCTGGTTTCAAGTATTGCTCTTTGGATAACGTGACCCTATCAGGGGATGAGGGCTGGTGAGGGCTGTGTAGCAGGGACGGGATCTCTTTAGCAAATCTTCCATCTCCTGAGCGAGGTCAGGACCTTGACATCACTGCCCTTGCAGTCTGTGGTATCAAATTCCTCATCTGACAATGGTAATGGCATTCAGCACTGGCCCGCTGGCACATCTGTGGGAAGATTGGGTCATGACTTCTGCTGTAAGACACAGACTGTTGTTAGACTTCTCTAGCTAATAATTTTTCCCATCTCTTCAATCTATCTTTGCTTCAGGGGATGGAGATATGTCTGAAATAATTGTCCAGTCAGTAGACATGAGGAAGCCATAATATCTCTAGTTCCGATAAGGTGTTGTCAGTCCCCTCCAGGGTGATCTGGAGATAAGTCAGGAAAATAGCTCTGTCTGCGAAACAAGGAGTTGTGCACTTGCCCGGACTGTTCAGCAGAAAATGGCCACAGAAGTATGTGTCCTGTGAAGTGGACAAAAAAGCATTAGGTATGTTTATCACACAGTCCTTCTAGTCCCTACCAGCGTCTGCAAGTAGCACGTGACTAATGAGAAAATAGACCAAGAGGGAAAATGAATCAAAAGACAATAAACAAAGAAATTCTGTGAATCCAGCTGTATGATATGCAGCTTGCTGAGCTCACTCCTGCTTTCTAGATGCACTTTCGGAGCCTGTGGGAATTGATGGTGGCTGTGCTGTGGCTGGCTCTTTGCCACTTTATCAGGGCAGCCGTGGTTCCACACTGGCCTTTCCAAGTTGAGCAAACGGCTGTCTGATGCACTGCTTCCTTGTGTCTGCTTTGTTTTTGTCTTACTGCGCCCATTCTGTCTGCTTCTATGGGTATATACAGCTCAAACTGTCTGCAGTTTTAAGCAAGCCAACCTGCCTCTGTAAGCCTCTTTTTTGGTGTCTCTACCAAATCACAGGTAGGTCTCCTTGCTCGTTCTCTTCAGCCTGAGGTGTTTACAATTGCTGTTCCATGCTTGAGTGTCTCAAGACTAATAAAAAATGTCCTGGGTTGCCCTTCCTAATGTTTGTGTTGTACTAGTTTTGATAAGCTTGTAGGCTGAGACTGACAGCTTTTCATATTGAGTTGGTTTTTTGAATAACTGTCCTTTCAGCTGCTAAAGTATGAAAGTAGCAAAGCAGGATCTTCAGCTGAAACTACCAGTATCCAGAGAGGCTTTCCTGGTGATGGTATGACAGAAAGTGGATTTTGTGATCAAATCTTATTTTCTCCATCATCCTACATAGCTCTTGTTCCTTCATGTTTATCTTGAAAGTAGAACCCAGGGCTTCTTGTGTTTTTTGTGGGGATCTCTTTCTGCTCTGAGACCCATATTGTGTCAGTGCAGTCTCCTTGTGTCATTACAGTCTCCTCAAGGGCTGTCTGCCTAAGAAATACCATGTTTGCAAATTGTTCAAACCTGAGAGAGCATTGAAAACCCAACCCCAAAATCTTTTTCTTGGGGCTAGGCTGTGCAGGTCACACTGATTCAGGAGCTGCAGTCAGTTACAGGGAGGCTGGACCATCCCCTTCCAGTCAAGGCTGAAGCTGGTGGCTGCTACATCTGTCTGAAAACCAAGCTAGTGCTAAATAACATTTTTAATTTCTTTTTTTTCCCCTTCCAGATGTATGTTTATGATTTTTTTTTCTTTCCTTACCACTATAACGGTTGGTTTTGTTTTGTAAAGCAATTGAATTCTCCTTTGTAAGCTTAGCAGGGGCTTTAGGGAAATGTTACCAGGTACCCAGTATTGGTTTTAAGGAGTTGCTTCTCATTTATTTAGAAACATGAATGCATTTGGAAGCATCTGGAGCAAAAACTCATGTTCTCGGTTGTGTATATTTGTATGATGTGAAGCCTGTTTGATCAAGCTTGACAAGAGGCAAATGTACAGGCATCTAAAAGTTGGGGTTTTCCCCCCCTTTTATTACAATAAAGAAGTTGGTCAGGGTTTTTTCACATCTGAATGGGTATCGGTTACAGTTAACAGTTACAGGAAACCTGCTTTTAAAGCTCTGGTGTGGTTCAGTTCAAGCCAGTTAAACGCTGTTTCCATTTGACTGAGAAATTCTCTAGGGTCAGCTGAGGTTTTTGCTTCCTCTTTACTGCCGGCTCCTGGTTGGTGTAGGAATGTCTTGCTGGCAGGGGGTAAAAGGCAGTTGTCAGAAAACCTGATGAATAGTTTCTTTGCCTCAGGACTGAGATGTGGTCTCATTGCTGCGCAGAATTTTGCATTCTTAGAGGCCTACTGTGTAGCAAAATCATCAATTTTAAAAATGTCTTTTTACAAACTACCCTTCCTTCCATTTTTTTTTCAAAATCACTTTATATGTGATGGCATTCATTATTTTACAGCTTTCATCTAGTCAAAAATGCAGTTGCAATATGAATGGACTTGGTGATACTGCATAATTATATTGCCTCTGAAATTAAAAATAGTTGTGTTGTGTTTCCCTCTCCAAAGGAGTTGTTGTTGCTGAGTCCGTGTAAAGCAGCCGACTTGGTGGCCATTCACTTCAGTGAGCAGATTGAGAGCATCATTACAAACCTTCAGGTAAGGCGTCAGACTTCATTGACGTTGGTGCTTCTTTACAGTGGGGTTGCCGTTCCTGTAAGAAATGAATGCTGAGACTAATGCTAAGTTGTCACTGTGTCATAAACAGAAGGAAAATAATTTGATAGCTACTCAGCTGCAGGAATTGCTGTATTTAAATTATTTGGCCTGTTTGTAGAGTTCTGGCCATAAAAACGTGCTGAGTTGCTGATTGCATCACTCGATAATACAGACTTTAGTCTGGAGTTCAGCAGAGCTTGTGCTCACAGATCAGACAGAGCTTTTGTAAGCAAACACATCCTCTGAGTATTTACACACGACAAATGCCTAAACCAGCTTCTTCAGCAGGCACAACCTGTGAACAGTATTTTCTTCAGTAGATATAGTTCAGGAATTGCTGATTTATAGCACATCATTTAAAACAGTAATACTCTATCTCCTCCTGTTGTACAGGACCAGTTCTTACTCTTCCAGTTTCTGAGGAGCCTCCTTGATCCAAGGTACGTAAGAAAATTGGGCCGTTTATGAACTACAACTTGAAAACATGGGTTAAAATAAATTCATTGGAAACAGTGTATCAATAGACAGCCTACAACTGAGATTTAGGGCTTAGAAAAGGTTACCTGCTCTTCAAACTGCCCAGAGTTGAGAAGGCTGGCCCAGAAATAACAGCGTTCTGAGGGGAGTATCCTTTAGCAGAGCCCTTGCCGGCTTCCTAACTGGGAAGTGGTGTGGGTTCCAGTACGTGCAGTGTGATGCCTCCTCCACGCTGGTGGGAGTTTGGGCATTGCTGTAACAGCTTCGAGAAGGCTGTGAAGTGGTTACCCTGTGACTGAAACTGCCGTTTCTCTCCTCAGAAATGGCAGTTTCTGTTCTCATCCCACTGATTTGATTACTTGACCAAGGTGCCCAAGTTTAACGTAAACAGAAGAGCATTTTGGTCTATTGGCATTTCTCATTTCTGTCTTATTTCAGAACTGGTGCCATATTTTCCTGCAAACTTCTCTTTAACTACTTGCTTGCTCCATCTGCTTCTGTTCTTTCAGTATTTCATCACTGAATGCTCTCTTTCTGTTGAATCAGTTTCAAATTCTACAGGACTTTGATTGTATGTATTCGTTTTGGAAGACATTTATATATGCACAGCTCCAATTGCCTTCAAGCAATTGTTGATGCAGTTGAAGGAGCTCGTTTTGTCTATTAGCCACAAATTAATTGTGCTTTATGAGGAGGAGGAGGAGTGGAGGGAAAAGGTAATATTATCTAAATTCATTTGTCAGTGTTTCAACTTTTGTTGAAGTGGAACAAAAAGCATGCTTTGGAAGCTAGAACCAGGAATTCATCACTTCTTGGATTTTGTTAGTATATAAAGAAAAGACACATTTTGATATTTCCTGAGTTTTACCACCCATATTGGTATGAAAGGTGTTAACTTCTATACCGGTTGTCTTCTTAAAAGTTAAAATAAAATCACAATTTTGTCAAGAACATATCTTGATTGAGTTTTATAGAAGAGAAGTTAGATTATTTAGTTAATAAATGAATAATTTAAAAACCCCCCAAACTGAGTAACGAAGCAGAAATGATACCCAGCTGAATGTTAAGTAGGACTTTGTTTATGCTGTGGTATTACTTGCCGCAAGTGAGACCCAGTGAAGGTAGTAATTAACCTGGATTTTAATCTTATGCACCAAGTGGCTTCCATAATCTCTGGGTAATAAATGTATCTAATTTAACTCTACCATAATTAGAGCTGAATAGAACCATTTCTCCTGTAGTTATCTTCTAATCAAAAGCAACACAGGATGTGTTCAGATCAGCAGTGGGAAGCAGCTTTCTGTATCTGATCTTTCGAAAGATCTCTGTTTTTCCCTCCAGGGCTGATGTTCAGTGAGGTGCGTTAGGCCATGCGGCTGGTCTCGTCTCGTTGTGCTGTGGGTGTCTTGGGAAAGTTTGTGAATGGTTCCTTTTCCCTCTTGTGTTCCAAAACTCACTGACTCTCTCACTGCAGGAAGATGTTCAGCACCCCAAGTGATGGAGATGCACCACATGCTGACCAGATTGTAGTTGCCAGAATACTCAATAAAGCAAAAGACAAGTGGGGCAGTTATACAGGAAAATGAGCAAAATCGTAGAATGACCTAGGCTGGAAGGGGCCTTAGAGATCATTTAATCCAACCTCCCTGTCATGAGCAGGGACGCCTCTCAGCTAGATCGGGCAACACATGGGGAGCGAACAGGGATCGAACCCACAACCTGCTAAATCCTTTGGATTCCTATGAGGCAGTGACTGACTGTAAAGCAGAAGGTCTGGAAGCCTGAAGTTTAACCTCTCGATATTAAAGTACGCTGTCAGTAAGAAGTGTTCCGCAGAGATCCTAGAGGGGCTGCTTTTTTGTAAATAACACTTGGGGTCCTGTGGTCTGGTTTTGGTGCTGGGGGCCTGTGTGCTTCCAAGTCCTGTTGGAAGGAGCTGCACTGTATCCTGGGAGTGGTAGGGAAGGAGGGAGAAATCTTGCTGTTAAAGACCTAATCTGCAGATATACCTATGTTTCGTATTATATCTGTATGGAAAATAGTGATTAGGCTCTTCTGAAAACATCCATCTCTTTTTCAGTTAATCTAAATTTTTATATGCTTTTTTGATCAAAATTCTTGTTAAAATAAAGACTCTTAGTGCAGTAAATGAGCTTTTAATGTCTCAAATACGAATGATTACTTGATCATATGGGACAGGACTCATCATGCTAGTATAACTATCCTAGTTGGTGGAATTGCATTAGGGATTAATTTGGCCCATTTAATTTAGCTAGAGATTTATTTTAAAGGAAGTGGAAGGGGGAAGGGAGGAAACGTGGTTAACAGAAGCTGCCTGGGGAAATTAAAACCAAATGTCCGTATGTTTGTATCTTATAAGCAGCCCCAGAAAATGGAGAATGTAGTGTGTATTGCTCAGCTCATTAATCACAGCCTTTGCCACATTTCCATTTTAAACTCGTAACGTTTTTATCCCTCCGAAACAAACAACACAGTGAAGCATGTCTGTTTGCAGTGTGTGTGTGTTGTACCAACAGTATTAACATAGCAACACAGTGTTCCAGGTCTGTACATATATTAATGGGTACCTAAGTGTTTAGGTGAAAGGTAACCTTTTTGGCTCTTCTCACAGACCAGCAATCCATGACACTTGCAAGGCTCACTTGTGCCAGGATTTGTGAGAAACCAGTGGCTTTCTCTTTCTTTTAGGAAACAGCATGCAGAGCATGGCAGGGGAGGTGTTTGTCATGGTTATTTTGAAGATGAGTGTAATCACATCGAGCTGAGCAGGACCTGCAAATCCCAGGACTGTTGCTTGTCTTTTAACATTATCAAAATCCAGCTTTCTTTCCATTCTCTCTTCCTTGCATTTCTTGAGCGAAATGGCTAGGGCAAAGGTAGCTTGCTCATGAAATCGTGGGTATTAGGTGCCCGAGCTATTTCCAGACTAGAAGTTTGTTCTCATACTAAAAATGTATGACTTGCCATTTTTTCCATTTTGGTAGATAGAGATCATTTTAGATAAAAAGTGCTCCTTTATTTCAGTCTAGACACAAAAAGAGTAGAACACTCACTCCCTTACAGGCGTTGGAGGTGAACTGCTGTTCGTTTTGAAGGCTTGCGGGTGCTGTATCTGTCTCTAGGAAAGTATCATCCTTTCCTTCCTAACTCTGAAATTTCTTGCCTCTTATGTTGCCTTTTTTACAACCAAGATGAGTAGAAAACAGTGAGGCCACAGGGACAGTTACAGGCACTGCATACAATTCTGTTCTTTGTTTTACTTCCTCCGCATTAGGGGTTTAATAGTAAGCCAAGGGATTAAAAATGGCCCCTGCACGAACCACTGCAGTGCCAGCAGCTGCTCCTGGAGAGGAATTGGAGAAATTGTTTTTACAGGGACATCTCTATTAAATGAGTTTAACTGTACTCGGAGCTTCACCTGCAGGAATTCCCGCGGCTGGAATCAGAAGGGGAGCCCTCGTCTGGCCTCCTCAACAGCTCAGGCCGGGCAGTGTTATCCACAGCCCTACCCAGAGCAGTGCCAGACCATCGTGGCAGTGTCGCTTGTGACAGGTCAGGGAGAAAAGAAGGCAGCAGGAAGCACAAAGAGGTTGGAGACTTCATCTCCCTGTGTTGACAGAGCAGATCCTGTGCTGGGAGATGAGACAATTGTCTGTAGTTCCAGCTGACTGTGCCTCTGTAGTGCAGCTGGATGCAAAACCCATGAGAGAGGATGCAGCAGCTTTTGGCTGAACAATGCAAAGGGTCTGGTTCAAAAACTTAGAGCTGGCGATCTGCTCTACCAGTGTCCATAAGGTGCACAGAGTTATTGCCTCTGCAAGAGCAAAATCTAATTCGCCAGTTCTGCTCTGGCTAAGAAGAGGAACTAAGTAAGAATGGGGATGTTTCTCTTAAAGAAGCAGGAGTTCATACCTCAGTGAGGTAGATTAAAGGGTTTACATTCTAGCAAATGAAACGTTAAAATGTGATAAAGGAAGCCAAAGAAGAATTCCAGGAATAATAAGCAAAAATCAACTGAATATTTCTTCAAAGACATGTGGAGAAGGTCCATAGGACGAACAGACAATCAGCATCTAAAAATAACCTCTCAGACCATAGTTTTTCACTGAAGAAGTTCTTTGCATCTCTAACACAGAATCGAAAAGATGTGTCTGTGCTGGTATCTTTCTTTACAGGGATATAGCAGAAAAAGCATAGTTTCTCTCATTAAAAACAGATTTTTTTACTTCTGTATTAAGAAGACAATATGGAGTCGAGTAAGAAACTGTTGTTTCCTACCAAACTTCTGAGCTAGAATTTGACTCGAGTCTCCTGTGCCTTTTTTATTCCAGAGAAGGCATTAACCAAGACCTGATACACTTACCACCCTGCATCACTGAGCAGTTCGTTGAGCTGCTGTGTCAGTACAGCCCGGACCAGGTTTTGGAGACGCTTAAAGTTCTGGAATACTGCAGATTGGAAGAAACCATCCAGGTAGGAAAGACATGTATAAGGACAGGGGCTAGGGGAAGCATTCGGATCAGCTCCTACCGCTTTTAAGTACTGTAAGTACTTTAGCCTAGGTTGTGGATTAGTTCCTGGATACTCTTTCAAGTAATTTCTAACAGTTTATCCCCTTGAGCTGCTCAACTGCTCTCCTGCAGCATGGTTAGCTATATTTAATATAGTGACCCTGAACTTAGTCTCGGAGCTAATAAGGAAAAGGCCATTAGTGCTCTGAAGCTGCTGAGTAACAGCAGAACACAAACTGTCTGTGTTAGTGTTGATTAATGTGTTGAAAGTATGTATATGAAATCATGGACCTGGGGTTTTTGGAAAGCAGCGCTGCCAAAGTTTGACTAGCACTGGGGGAGCAAGTATTTCTTCCCTTTATGAAAATTTTAATAATAATCTGTCCTTGATCTCAATTTACAGATTTATTTTTATGGGGTTTTTTGCTGGTGGTGGCAGTAGGGCAAGTTGAGAAATAAATGCAGCGTAGCTGTTAGTGAGGGGAAGTAGAATTGCTGCTCAGACTGAGTAATGTGCCTGTGAACACATGGAGACAATCCTTTCTGACCATCTGGTTGTCATTGTTTCATGAAGTAAACAAACACTTGCAGGTTTCTTAAGGTGGACTTTTAATTTTTAAATTTTTTTTTAAACTCAGATAACCCAGAAATATCAGCTCCATGAAGCTTCTTCATATTTACTGGAGAAGAAGGGAGATATCCATGGCGCCTTTTTGGTTATGCTTGAGGTACAGTACACTGAAATCCTGAATGTGGCATTTTAGTCATTCTAAATGGAGACACAACAAATGCAGGAAGCAATTCCATAACCTGACTTTTATCCAGCACCAGTTTTTCCTGGTGCCATACTCAGGTGCCATACTTAATAATGAGAATTGCTGTAACAGCCCATGGTTCCCAAAAGTCAGCAGCCTGATGCCAGCCCTCACCCCTAGAAAGTCATAGCTAAGACAAGTAGACATCACAAAATCTCAGGGACTCCTCCCTTCTCCTCAGGTCTCCTGGAGGCCAGAAAGGAAATTTGAGTTTGTGCTTGTCCTGCCCAGCATCCCAGCTGGGTAGGATCATCAGGTGGCCTCTAGGCTACGTTACATCTGAGTTGTGTTAATGATCATGGAATCATAGAATGGCCGAGGCTGGAAGGGACCTTAGAGATCATTTAATCCAACCTCCCTGTCGTGGGCAGGGACGCCTCTCAGCTAGATCAGGCAACACACGGGGACTGAACGGGCATCGAACCCGCAACCTTGGTGTTATCAGCACCATACTCTAACTGACTGAGCTATCTGGTCTTTTTCATGGAATCATTCAGATTGGAAAATACCCTTGGATCAGTGAGTCCAACTACAAACCCTACTCTACAAAGCTCACCCCTAAACCATATTGCCGAATATCACATCTAAATGACCTTTAAAGACATTGAGGGATGGTGACTCCAGCACCTCCTTACGCAGCCTATTCCAATGTCTGACTACTCTTTCTGTGAAATTTTTTTTCCTAATATTCAGTCTAAACCTAGCCTGTTGCAGTTTGAAGCCATTCCCTCTTGTTCTGTCCCTAATTACCTGTGAGAAGAGACCAGCATCACCCTCTCTACAGTGTCCTTTAACGTTGTTGTGGAGAGTGATGAGGTCTCCCCTCGGCCTCCTCTTCAAACTAAACAGCCCCAGCTCCTTCAATCGTTCTTCATAAGACATTCTCCAGGCCCTTCACCAGCTTCATTGTCCTCCTCTGCACTTGCTCCAGCACCTTGGTATCTCTCTTGTACTGAGGTGCCCCAAACTGGACACAACACTCAGGGTGTGGCCTCACCAGTGCGAAGTGCAGAGGGCGTGGCCACACTATTTCTAATACAAGCCAGGATGCCGTTGCCCTTCTTGGCCACCTGGGCACACTGCTGGCTCATGTTCAGCTGCCTGTCAGTTAGGACCCCCCGGTCCCTTTTTGCCAGACAGCTTTCCAACCACGCTTCCCCAAGCCTGTGGCGTTGCATGGCATTGTTGGGGCCCACGCGCAGGACCTGGCCCTTGGCCTTGTTGAAGCTCACACCGTTAACCTTGGCCCATTGATCCAATCTATCCAAGTCTCTCTGTAGGGCCTCCCTACCCTCGTGCAGATCAGCACTCCCACCCAACTTGGTGTTGCCCGTGACCTTACTGGTGGTGCACTCTGTGCCTTATCCAGATCATCAATAAGGATGTTAAACAGAAATGGTCCCAACACTGAGCCCTGAGGAACACCACTTGTGACCGACCACCAGCTGGATTTAACTTCATTGATCACCACTCTTTGGGCCCGTCCATTCAGCCAGTGCTCTATTCAGCACATGGTGTGCTCATCCAAGCCATGGGCAGCCAGTTTTTCCATGAGAATTCTGTGGGGAACAGTGTCAAAGACTTTTCAAAAGTCTAGGTAGACAATAGCCACAGCCTTTCCCTCATCCAACAGTCGGGTCATCATGCCGTAGGAGATCAGGTTCGTCAGGCAGGACTTGCCTTTCATAGACCCATGCTGACTGGGCCTGATCCCCTGGTTGTCCTCTGTATGGTGTGTCATGGCACTCAAGATGATCTGCTCCATGACCTTCACCGGTAATGTGGTCAGACTGACAGGTCTGTAGTTTCCTGGATCCTCTTTTCTGCCTTCCTTGTAGATGGATGTTACATTTGCTACCCTCCAGTCCATTGGGCCCTCCCCAGTTAGCCAGGACTTCAAGTAAATAATGGAAAGTGGCTTGGTGAGCACATCTGCCAACTCTTTCAGTACCCTTAGGTGTAACTCCTCTGGCCCCATAGACTTCTGTGCATCTAAATAGCGTAGCAGGTCACTGACCACTTCCTTTTTAATTGCGATGATCTCATTCTGCTTCCCCTCCCTATTTCGTGGCTCATGAGGCTGGGTGTCCAGGGGACAGGTAGTTCCACTGCTAAAGACTGAGGCAAAGTAAGCATCGAGCACCTCATCCTTTTCCTCATCCTTTGTTGCTTTGTTTCCCTCTGCATCAAATAAAGAGTGGAGATTTTCCCTAATCCTCCTTTTGTTGTTAATGCATTTATAGAAACACCCGTTCGGTCCCCATGTGTTGCCTGATCTAGTTGAGAGGTGGCATCCCTGGTGGCAGGGTGGCTGGATTAAATGATCTCTCAGGTCCCTTCCAGCCTAGGCCATTGTATGATTCTATGATTTTTTAATTATTCTTAACAGCTGTAGCTGGGTTTAGCTCTAGCTGTGCTTTGGCCCTCCTAATCTTCTCCCTGCATAGCTTCACATCTTTATAGTCTTCATGAGAGACTTGCCCCCTCTTCCAAAGGTCATAGACTGTCCTTTTCTTCTTGAGCTCCAGCCAAAGGTCCCTGTTTAGCCAGGCCAGTCTCCGTCCTTGCCAAGTTGTTTTTCAGCACGTGGGGACAGCCTGCTCCTTTGCCCTTAAGACTTCCCTCTTGAAGTGTGGCCAGCCTGCCTGGACACCCTTATCCTTCAGGACGGCCTCCCAAAGGGACTTTGTCAATCAGTCTCCTCAACAGGTCAAGATTTGCCCTTTGGAAGTCTTTTTAAGGAAAAAGACAGTCAAAACTTTGGGGTGTCCTGGTGAAGCCTGAGAAAAAAGTGAGACTTGGTGGTAGAAAAGGAAAATCAGCCTTCTGTGGAAGTAAACCAGAGGAGGGCACCATTCGGTAGCGCTTGGGGACCTGGCTTATTTGTGGTCCTGGCAGTGCCAAGTTATCAGTTGGAGATCATGGTCTTAACAATCTACACAATTCTATGTTTTTATGACATGCCATCAGCATGATGCCCTGTGTTAAGGTTTGATATTGTCATTGCTTCCCAATTTGTGTCCTGCTAGAATCCATGTATGTTTTTAGCTCCTGTCAAATAAGAATATGTTGAGTTCTCTGCAGACTCAGCAGATCCAGATTTTTCTGGCCTGTCTTCAGACATCTAGTAGATATAATAGATGCTGAAATTTGGTTTCCTTAATCAAAAATAATCTTTCAGCTCTTGTTTTCCTTTCCATATTTGGAAAGATATTTATGCTATGTTAGTCATCCTGGGGAAGAAAATGAGGGTAGGCCTTTGTAACCATACCTTTTAAAATCACTTCTGTCAAGATCCTGCAAGTGTACTGTTCTGAATTCTCTCTTTTGTTTCAGCGATTGCAGAGCAAGTTGCTGATGCTTACGCAAGATGATGAAAGTAAGAGTTTTTATCAAGTTCAATTCCATTTTTTATTAAAAAGAGATAAACCCAAAAGTGTAAAGTGCATATGCCTAACACCTGGCATAATAAGATCCTATTTCAGTTTTCTGGGTACTGTGGTGACTTTGTTAAGATTTATATTCACGTGGCTGTGGTAGTTATTCTGCTGATACTTCCTTCCTCTGTTACCCTGATCTTGCTAGAGATCTAGAACAAGCTGTGGTGGATGTGTGTGTAATCAGCTGCCCCATTAGCTTTTTTCATTGTGATTCGTGCTTTTAGCTGGCTTACCAGACACATTTCCAACGTTGGAATCCATTTGAACTCATTACTGAGCATTAGTAGGCATTATATATGAATGATGACGAGAGACATCTGGAAGTAGCTTTTTTTTTGAAGCAAACTTCTCAGAGAAGTAAGAATGTTCTGCCTACAGAAAATGAGTATATGCACAGGTGCCCTATTCACTAGCCCAAAGACTCGTGAGTATCTAATTAAATGCAGTGCCCATATTTGTTACTTAATTGTATCCTAAACCACTGCTAAGATCTTCCTTATTCAATTACATGAAATGGTTTATATGCCAAATTTATTATACTATTCAGGAAAAGTGCCAAAAATCAGGACCTGTCTTTATAATTTAGTTGCTCACTGTAGTGAACAGACTTTAGATGAGCAGCTCGATTTACTTTTGCAGAATCATTGGGAATTAACATCTCTAATAGTGTTTATAATTACAATTTGTTTTTTTCCCAAAAAAACTTAGGCTCGCCTGAACTCCTCTTGCTAGAAAACATTGAAGATACCTTAATGAAAACAATTGCCCTTTGTCAGAGAAATTCACACAATTTAGACCAGCAACAGCGAGAGGTAAGGTAGTAAAAAAAAGCATGGCTAAAATCAGCAAAGGCCTCTGCATCTCCTGAAACTTCCTCTTCACGTGCTGCTTCCTTTCCCAATCTGTTGATGCTGATATGGCTCAAGCAGTCGTTGTTTTCCTCTGACTTGTGTTCTTGCAGTGGGTCAGGAGAGAAATTCTCACTGGCAAGGGTGAAGCACAAAATAAAGTGTGTATCGGCAGTGGAGAAGCAGATGAGACAACATCCTTCCTCCATTTTTATCTCCATTGGAAATTTTGGCTTGAATGTCAGTCAGACACTAAGGAAGGCATAGTGGAGTTTGAGCCAACATCATGGTGGGACCAAGCTGATGCTGATGTCACTGTGACTGCAGGATATTGCTGTTCTGAATATGTTCGTGTCCTGGTTTCAGCTGGGATAGAGTTAATTTTCTTCCTAGTATAGAATCATAGAATGTCAGGGGTTGGAAGGGACCTCGAAAGATCATCTAGTCCACCCCCCTGCCAGAGCAGGATCCCCTAGGGCAGTAGCTGGTACGGTGCTGTGCTTTTTCTTTAGCGTGAAAATAATGTTGATAACACGCTGATGGCTTAGTTGTTGCTAAGTAGCGCTTGTCTAAGGTTAAGGATTTTTTGGTTTCCAGTGCTCTGCCAGTGACCAGGTGCACAAAAAGCTGGGAGGGAGTCCAGCCAGGGCAGCTGACCTGAGCTAGCCAAGGGGGTGTTGTGTTCTGTACCACAGAACAT